CAGTTTCAACCACCAAGAAATGTAATCTTTAACTAATCAACATGGAAAATTTCTGGTCAGCACTAAGATGTTTACTAATAGACACTTTCTGTTCCTCCTGGAGGGTGACCTTGCCTTCAATAGTGGATTCTTTGTTAATAATTTCATCTTTTCCATTCCCTCTCTACCTTAAAAAACTTTTCCTCTAGGCCCTCAGAGCTCCCCTCTACTTGCTAGGTGGAACACTGCCCAATTCATGAAATGATTACTAAGGCCAATTAGATCTTTAATATTTACTTGGTTGAATTTTTGTAATATAACAAGAACTAATTCTGTAGCTAGGAAACAAAATCTGAGAAACAAAGACAAAATGAATAAAAAGCTGAAGAAGAAATCATTTAGGAAGGAGCAAGAGGCAAGGAATTTCAGGAGGGAATGGACTGTGTAGCTGGGAGGAAGCCACTCTGCCTTACAGGCTTCTGTCTTCTCATCTCTGAAATGATCTCTGAGCCCCAGGAGATGTCCTAACTCTAGTATCCTTTGTGTTTTCAGAATCACAGAAAATTTGGATAAATGACTAACGAAGATTAATGGCTTTACACATTAAATCCTTTCGTGAATCTCTGTATAATTAAAGAGCATATCTGGAAATGTGGCTTATTGACAGTGGATATGCGTAGGTAATGGTGACTACAATGAAATCAAATAGCGTGACAGGTGCAGCAATTCCTTGGTGTCCAGGGCATGTCAGTGGCTGCAGAAGCCACTGCAGGAGGGCCCTTCCACAGGTCCCCCTCCACCCTCCACGCTGGGGATAAAATTAAGCAACAAGAAGGAAGCAGTTCAGGGCACCTGGGTGGCTCAGTGGGTTAAGCTTTCAGCTCAGGGCATGATCTCAGGGTCCTGGGATCAAGCCCCACTTCAGGCTCTCTGCTAGGCAGGAAACCTGTTTCCCCCTCTCTCTCTGCCTGCCTCTCTGCCTACTTGTGATCTCTCTCTGTCAAATAAATAAATAAAATCTTAAAAAAAAAAAAAAAAAAAAAGAAGGAAGCAGTTCACGCAGCATCAGTGGACTGGGACTAAACCAAGACCGGGGCCCTACAGCCCAATCTCCATTAGCCTGATAATCGCCAGTGTTGCCTACCTCCCTCTGGGTTCCTGGGCCAGCAGGATGCTGGGCCGAGATGAGGAGTCCACAGCTAGAGACACCGATCCTGGTCCCACTGGCAAGGAACCAATAACCAAGAAAGGAGCACCCCACCAGGGCTCACTGCAGAAACCCAGTCAGTTGGTTCCAGGGCCTGCCAGTTCTGCGGGGCGTCTTCCTGGCACCACTAGCAGCCCCGGCCCAGTGCCGGCACCAATGCTGTGGCTGTGACAAGGCCTTCTCTTACCAGACCAAGTGGCCATGTACTGGCTGGTACACACCGGCGCCTGCCCCCTCTGTGTCCCAATCACCCCAAGACCTTCTGCTATCCCTCCAAGCTTGCAGCCCTCAGCCACACACACCATGCCACCAATGTCCACCCCTGTCCTTGTCCACACGGCTCCAAGACTTTTTCATTCCCCTCCAGATTGGCTGCACAAAGCCTGTATCATGATCCCCGATGGCACCAGGCAACCAGGCCACAGCCCACCATCGCTGCTCCAAGCTGCACCTAGGCCTTTGACCAAAGATGCATCCTGCTGGTTCATGAAGGCAGCCAGCATCAGGCTGACACTCTGAGGCAACATGAGCGAGCCCTCCCCTTAGCTCATTGTCCCCTCTGCCACCAGCTTGGGTCAATAAAGAAAAGGTGGCATTTCTAAGCTGGGCTGGCAAGGAGATTGGCTCCACCTGGGCTTGAACTTAACAAGGCTGAGGAACTCTTTCCTCACTTGTTTTGGGGAGGGGAAGATGTCACCCACAGAGAGTTAGCACTGGGCTCCAAACCATGGACTTGGAGCTGTGGTTCCAAAGCAAGTCCTGACTCCAGTTTTCCCCTCCTCTTCATATGGCAAAAGTAAAAAGTCTGCCACCATTATAGTTTGGTGAGGAGTGTGGGGAAACAGGGTCTCTCCTTACTGTTTTAAGTTAAACTGGATCCTCCATTTTGGGAAGGAAGGAAAGAAGGAAGGGAGGAACGGAGGAAGGAAGACAGTAAGATTCTACTAGCTTAATTCTACAAAAGGAAGGTCACACAAAAGATCATGAATCAGAATGGCTCTGGCCTACTCCATAGCAGCACTGGGAGCCAGAAGACAAATGGAGCAATGCCATCAAAATTATGATGGCAAATAACTTCAAGTGTAAAATTCTATACCCAACAAAACTAATAATCAAATGTGAGGTAAATAAAGACATTTTTCAGACATATAATATCTCAAAAAGATTATGTCTCGCATGCCATTTCTCAGAAGAAGCATTCTATCAAAACACAAGGAAAAGCTAGGACAAAGGAAATTGGAGAAACATCACATGAATGAGGCAAATCAATCTTCAGGATGATGGTGACAGAAATATCAGGGACAGTTACGCATGAGCAGAGAGAGCAACTCATCCATAATGAATAAGTATGACTCAAGAGATAGCATATTGAAGAAGGACTGTCATCACCAAGATAGCTTTTGCTACTATAATGGCCTTTTAACCTGACAATGCTAAGGTAAGTCTTCTCCAAATTCATTTTTGTGCAATATTTGCTTGGCAAGTTCCTACTTTCGCTTCTATGCCCTACTTCCTGAATCAGCCCAAAGACCCTCATTTTAATCCAAAGAAAAACTCTACTTTGACCTATTTCTCAGAGTTGGAGGTTGGTCACAATGAATTTAGAAGCAGAAAATACAGAACAGTTCATTACCTCTGATCATGTTCCTGTTGGATATCCTGTAAGAACATGGACCCTACTACAAACCTAACAAATGCCTTGAATATGATAAGCCCTATATTTCCCATTCACTTGTCCAATGACTTCCCCAAAAGGCGCTCTTAGCAACTATCAGGGAAGTTGAAACTAGATTATGATTCCAAAACAACAGCTTTTCTCTTCTAGAAATATTTTATTGAAGAGGGATAATAATGCCATTTTTTACACAGCCGGGTTTATACTTTGCTATTCAGCTTTTATATTAGCCACTTTTAATTCACTTTACACATAAATATTTAAATGAATATAAATAAAGGAATTAAATATTTGCTTATAAAGATTTTGAAAAGTATTATAAAGGAAATAAAACCTGCTGACGGGACAAGTATGATGGGATCAACAATAGTGAAAAGTTATCAATGCAACTGAAAGTTTTTGTAGCAATGTGGGCCCTAGAAGCTCAGCTTCAAGGGGAAAAGAATTTCCTCTCCTGAATGTCTAGATGAATGTGCTAGCTTCTCAAAATGTAACTATGTGTGGTTCATAGAAATTATTTCCAGTTATATTAAGTAAGTACTCAGTGATTTTACCAACATGCCAAATTCAAGCATTCCCAATTATTCTCAAATCAACCTTGGATTTTTCTTTTTTCTTTTCTTTCTTTTTTTTTTTTTTTGCACCTTTAGTGTAAAAACACTGAACTTTATCTCACTGAGCTTATATACATAAAATACTTTTCAGAGTATTTTCCTTGATTCATTGGAGAATTTCTGAGCTCACAGCTCCTGAATGTTCTTCACTGTAGTTTGGGGGATATTGTTTTGTTTTTTAATTACCTTCAATCTTCCCTTATTAATAGAACTTAAAGGCTTAAGTACAAGTTGGTTTGAACCTTTAAGGACAAAGATCAAGTCCTTAAAGAATAATATTAACCTAGTGCTGGTAGACATAGTTCTTCTGCTTGAACCAACAGTCACTCACATAGAAGGACAAACTATTGTAAACTACTAGGTAACTACTAGTATATTTTACAAATAGAGTTCATTTAGGCAAAGGGAAATTCCATGTCTTCTAGCTTGCATTCTCTAACTCAAAAAATCCAAACTACAGAGTCTACAGTTGTTAAAGGCCGCTGCCCCTCAACTTTTCTTAATAAATTTAAGTTACCTTGAAGAAAGAATCAACAAAACCTATTCAGATTCATCTCTTTCTCTGTTCCTCACTTCCTATGTTTAGCCAGGCTCCTAGTTTCTCCAACGCCATTCTCTTAATTCTAGGCATTTTTACAAGCCATTCTTTCTCCACATCACTTGCCCATTTAATCCTTCAGTTCTCGGCTCAAGCGTCGCCTCCCCAGAAAAGACTTCCCTGGCCATACCCTGTCATGACATCTTGTATTTCCTCTTGTGTAACACTCATCACGCTAAATTCCAAGTTCCAAAGGGCTGGGACCATGTCTATCTTATCCACAGCCCTATCCATATCATTTAGGATAGCATCTGCAAAGACTTGTTAAGCTGCACTAAAGTTTTTATCACTAGATTTTAAGCTAAATATTTATAATTTCCAGTAAATCGGCTTAGGAAATAATTCAAATTTTCTGAAGTAAATACCTAACTTTTAACCTTTCCTTCTTCCTCCATGTTCTCACACTTTCTTTTACTTCTTTTGAAAGTTAACTACTGGTTTCCCTTTGGGCTAGAAGAAAATGTCAGATTCTTTGCAAGACTGTTTCAATGATATATTTCAAATTATACGTTTCAAATTATAATGTTTCAAACAATAATATGTTTCAAATTATAACTATATATCATAATTATCTTATAATTATAATATTGATAATCATCCATTCAACAAGTATGTATTATGAACCTATCAGATACAATATTAATTACATAATATATGAAGTTATTGGTATCTACTTGCTAATCAGGACAACGTAGCTCTGTACTTGCCCTGTCCTTTAAAAAGATAGTACAGTAGATACTCTCTCTCAATGATGAAAGAACACATCAGCAATGGTCTTTTCTTTAAAATGTTCTAGAGGGAAAATCTGAGAAACAAGAATAGGCAAGAATAACTCTTAAATACATTGCATCTTGGAGAGGCAGGCATAAATACACTTAACACCAATAAAAGAATTTAAACAAGTGTTTTGACAGACAGTCTCCTCACCTTAGAGTTTGCATTATCCCAAATGGCTAGACCAAAGTAGTCCTCTTCCAAAAGATTGAGGTGCTCACACACTCGTTTAAGCAAATCTTGCCCCTTTGCATGTTTCTGCAAAGACAAACATATTCTGAGGTTTCCTCTTATTCTTGTGTTTATCATCAAATAAAATAAAATGTCACTTCCCAATTTCCTCTTTTATCCTTGGTTACCACCACTTTTCAGATGGTTTATACGGTAGAAGTAGAACAATATGGGTTATAAAAATCCTGTTTCTTAATTTGTCATCTTAAATATGCAACACACTTATAGTGGCTTGGAAATAGTGCTAGAAGTCAAGGCAAAATTTTACCTTCCCTTCATCAACCATTCCCGGCCTCCATCTTAAACATCACAATCTTTATTTTTGGTGCAGTATTTCCTGAAGCTTGCTATGGGCTGCTGTCAACATGACCACCTAAATTCACTGACTCTAATGTCAACACTGACAGTTAATTGTGACTATGGAAATCATTCAGACTTGCAGCCGTTCTCAGACCAAATGTCCCAAGAGAATGAGCTATGTCTCAGCTCCTTGCTGAAAAACGCATGAAGTCTAGATACCCTACGGACATTACCACTTGCGGTGGCTTTTTTAGTTGTGCTATGAATCATTTTCTAAGGTTTCTTTACCAAGAAAATAAAACCACTGCCAAATTTGGGTACTAATATTCCTACTTAGCCTAACTTAGAGGCTAAAATAGGACAGTCAAAAGTCCTGGCTCCTCCATTTACAACCTAGATCAATTCTATTAATAATTCTGAACATTACCATTAGCTTTCTTATATGTAAAACTGTAAGACTATTTATATCTATCGTACCTAATGGAATTGTTGAAAAAAAATCAAACATGCTAATGACCTCTGAGAAATATATTTTTTAAAATACTTCAAAAAAGTTAGAAATCATTTTGGACACACACACATCCTCTCCATGAGCAGAGTTATTTTTAATGACTTAATAATTCATATAGCTATTAATTCATTTTCAGATTAATTCATCTATTGTAATCATTTTCTTCATTTTTTTCTCTCTTATGTTTTCACTCCAAATGACAGAATTGATTTGGGGAATCTTCATGTACAGGTCCCTACTCCATTATTTATAATTCCAAAATCCAGAAGCTCTAAAAAGTAAAATTTTAGGCTTTTTGGGTGGGGGGGGCAGATTCCAAAATTCATTTGAAGGCAAATTCTGACCTGAACTATTACGAGGCTATTTATGGTCTTTATGTACTGCCTTAGAATGAATCCTGGTACTGCCACACACCCTGCTGTGTGTGTTATGAAATATGCAGCCAAAGTATTTACTGCCTTTCTAAAACCAATTATTTTGAATTCTGAAACATATCTGTCCCCAAATGTTTCAGGTAAAAAGAACCCAGATCTGGACATTGGTCGAAATGGGAAGAATGTGTGAAATAGCTTTTCCCATCTCTCAACTAGGTAGTGGAGAAAAGCAGAAAGAACAGACCACAGGTCCTTGGTTAACAGGATAGCAGCTACTTTCAAAGTGCAATACTGTATTTTTCTTGATTTCTTTTTTAAAACTTGGAGAGGGAATGTCTATTGATAGATGGTGATATTTTAGACTATTACTGCTTTGATAGATTTGCATTTGCATATAAATAATTCAATTCATAATTAATTACCTAAAATACAAATATATGTGAATTATATATGTTTTATCAATAAAGGCTATTATTAGTAATAATCACATTGTTTAATATCAATCATATCATAACTGATAATTACTGCTCCAGTTAAAAAAAATGATTAGTAGATTTTTAGGGATTTTAACTTGTCTTGAAAGAGCAAAAAATAACCAAGTAACACATCTTTATTCAATCCTGACTCTATCACTTATTTTTTCAGAAAACAATAAAGTATTCTAAAAAATGGCATTACTTGACTTAAATTTTTTATATTCTATTTCATAGTGCTAAAGAAATGGATTGAATAAACCAGGGCTTATTACAGTTTACATCTGGGGCAGCAGAAATGACCACCCAGTAACTTTTTCACAAATATAATCATGAGGATAGCTAGACTTAATATCAGAAATCAAGGCTACCTGGGAAATCTAGTCATGGCAGGTCACTCTATAAATAATAACCAATTGTTTTTAAACAAAATTGTTTTGGATTATAAAAGTAACACATGCTTGATTGACAAGTTTTGGCAGATATAGACAAAACTGGAGAAGAAAGTAAGACTCAGTAATAAACGTTCCAGACCTCCACTTCCAGAAAATCCCTATTAACATTTCAGTCCCTGGAAATAGTCACTAGAACTACTTACTCAACCCTACCAAAGAATATGTAAGAATTATGACTATGGAAATTAAAATGCCCTCACCTCCACAACACATTCATAAACTGTGTCATCCAACAAAGAAACCTTGCAATGCATGTTTCTGTGTCTTCTGATGGATTTCTGGGAAGCTTTTAATTCTCTTTCTGCTTTTGACTCAGGACTTTCTTCTTTTACTTCTATTTTAGAGCACTCTTCAAGGTCTCCTCCTTCCTTAGTTTCAAAGTCTGGATCTTCTCTGTGTTCTTCCTGAGCGGGCTGCATAACCATGACACCAAGTCAGTAATAAACACATTTCACAAAATATGCTGTGTTCATTTTAATAACTATAATAATGCTACCAATGAATGTGGTGAATTAGAAAAACTGTTAAAACAAATATAAGTGATACTAAGACTAAATAAATTATCTATAAAAGATATTATGAGGGGCACCTGGGTGGCTCAGTCATTAAGTGGCTGCCTTCGGCTCAGGTCATGATCCCAGAGTCCTGTGATCGAGCCCCGCATCTGGCTCCCTGCTCAGAGGGAAGCCTGCTTCTCCCTCACCCACTCCCGCTGCTTCTGTTCCCTTTCTCACTATGTCTCTGTCAAACAAATAAATAAAATCTTTTAAAAAAAAAAAGATATTATGATCTCCTAAAAGATCTATACACTATGCTATCCTCAAAACTTCTCAGGTAGAATCCATCTTTCAAATCAACAAATGAAGTTTTCAGGCAAACTACAGGACACCAATATATGGCTCTCAGCATTATATATTCTTCCTGACTATGCCATTATATATATATTTTAAAGATTTTATTTATTTATTTTTCAGAGAGAGAAAGAGCACAAGCATGGAGAACAGAAGGCGGAGGGAGAAGCAGGCTCCCCACTAAGCAAGGAGCCCCATACGGGACTCGATCCCAAGACCCTGGGATGGTAACCTGAGCTGAAGGCAGACACCTAACTGACTGAGCCACTCAGGCATCCCACCATTATATATTATTAAAGTTTATCAAAACCTTACCATCTCTGCCCTATGCTCCACAATTTTAGCAAGGTACCTTTATGAAGTATAAAATGAGATGTGATTTATCACATATTCTAAATCTTATGAATGGCTAAGAGAGAGTCTTGGGACCAATTTTAGAGCATAAAACAATATATAAACTAGGCTAACAAATGTAACTACCAGTTAACTCCTTTCTACCTTTTATCAATCGTGCCCAATGGGAAGAAGATTCTAAGAAGCAAGAGACATTGAAATCTGGGTTTCCTAAGGTTATCATGAAGTCATCCCAAAGTTTTACAGGTAAGTGAAACAACATTTTGACACATACTTTCTTACTTCCAACATAAGAATGGCAAAAAAAGCCTTTTATTTTCCCCCACATTCCAGCTCTCCATTTTTTGGTAACATCTCTTCCAACTTAGAACAAAGTCTGGAGAAGTTGATTCACACCTGAGAACAAGATGGGAACTAGGCCAGCGCCCTTAGAGCCAGGTTCTAGACCAGTGGGACTTCCGGCGTGGGTGGAAGCACACAGCAGTGAGACAGCAGAGAAGGCCACAGAAGAGAAGCAGGAAGGAGCCCAAAACAAGCAGTCTGGAGCCACACAGAGCCAGCTCCTCCGAGGTGAGCAGCTTGGTGAGCACAAGGCCTTCGTGGCTCCAGACGCTGACACACTCCTCAGTCGTCCTAAGACTCAAGGTGGCATTTCCTCTTCCCTCCTCTGAGCAGGAGAGAGGTGGCTGGCTGGAGGGCAGGATTTCTGAAGCAGCACTAAAATACAGGCACGTTCCTGAGGTCCTTTCTGTGGTCACTCTGGCAATAATGAGGATCCGCTCTTCCGCAGAAGATCCTTTCAATCCCAAAACTGCTGAAAGATTCTTAACTAAACCTCATTAAATCTTTTCTTTCAGAATATAAGGTTGACATAAAGGAAAAAGGACTTAATTATTTAGCTCCTGAATTAGATATCGGAGGTGGTCTAAAAGGCTCCTTCCCATCCTTTATGACCCTTTTGTTTTTTTTTAAGATTATTTATTTATTTATTTATTTATTTGACAGACAGAGATCACAAGTAGGCAAAGAGGCAGGCAGAGAGAGAGGGAGGAAGCAGGCTCCCCGCCGAGCAGAGAGCCCGATGCAGGGACCCTGAGACCATGACCCGAGCCGAAAGCAGAGGCTTTAACCCACTGAGCCACCCAGGTGCCCCCTTTGTGACCCTTTTAAATGTGACCTCTTCAAAGAGTCCTTCAACTGGCTATCTTACCTATCATATCCCCAGTCTGCTATTCATGTCAGTACCCTGTTTATTGCTTTCTTAAAATTTCTTATAATAAATAATTACTTTATATTTACTAATTTTTTGTCTCTTCCATTAGACTATAAAATGTCATCAAGAATAGGGATTATGATTGTTTTATAACAACAACACTATATAACAATTAAAATCGATCAGTTACTATTCTAAAAGCATTATTTATATGAACTCACTTTATCCTCATTATATCCTACACCTCAAACTAATATAACACTGCATGTTAACTACATTGGAATTAAAATTTTTTAAAAAGAAATTTTTATGATATGAAAAAAGTAAAAACAACCCAATTGCAAAAAAAAAAAAATATAGGTGAAGGGGATCAAGAATACTTATGATGATGAGCACTGAGAAATGTATAGAATTGTTAGCTCACTATATTATACATCAGAAACTGATATAACACTGTATGTTGACGATACTGGAATTAAAATTAAAAAACAAAAAAGAAAAGAGAGAAAGAAACTGAAGCCCGAGAAGTTAAAGTAACTCGTCCAGCATCATTCAGTTAATAAGTTACATACCAGTCTGCCTCCAGAATTCATGATCTTAAACCTCTTTGTCATATTGTACCAATTATATCCAGCTTAGGGTCTGGCACACATAGTAGGTTTTCAATAAATATGTGTTGAATGAATAAATAAACAGTAAAAGCTGACATGGCTTCTGAAAAATCCAAGGTACCAGACATAAAGACTGGTACAATCCTATGATGCAAACTTACTTTTAAAAAATCTGGATAGAAAAGGACCACTCAAGTGAAACTCTATCACACATACAGAAATACGGTTAAACAAAGATGGGATTGGGAGGGAGACAAACCATAAGTGACTCTTAATCTCACAAAACAAACTGAGGGTTGATGGGGGGAGGGGGGGTAGGGGGGGGGGGGTTATGGACATTGGGGAGGGTATGTGCTATGGTGAGTGCTGTGAAGTGTGTAAACCTGGCGATTCACAGACCTGTACCCCTGGGGATAAAAATATATTATATGTTTATAAAAAATAAAATATTTTAAAAAAAAAATGTCTGTCAGGGGCGCCTGGGTGGCTCAGTGGGTTAAAGCCTCTGCCTTCGACTCAGGTCATGATCCCAGGATCCTGGGATCGAGCCCAACATCGGGCTCTCTGCCCAGCAGGGAGCCTGCTTCTTCTCTCTCTGCCTCTCTGCCTACTTGTGATCTCTGTCAAATAAATAAATAAAATCTTTAAAAAAAAATAAATAAAAATGTCTGTCATTCTCAAAAAAAAAAAAAAAAAAGAAAGAAAGAAATACAGTTAAACAAATAAACCCTTACCTACAAGGTTCTGACCCACAAGGTTTTGATGATAATTACTGGCTTCTAAAAAGCCCCAAATAGTTTTCTCCTTTAAACCGTATCTCTTTGGGGTGCCTGGGTGGCTCAGTGGGTTAAGCCTCTGCCTTTGGCTCAGGTCATGATCTAGGGTCCTGGGATCAAGCCCCAAGCCTGCTTCCACCCCTCTCTGTCTCTGCCTGCCTCTCTGCCTACTTGTGATCTCTGTTTGTCAAGTAAATAAATAAAATCTTTTAAAAATAAATAAATAAACAGTATCTCCTTGAGAGTTATTAACGGTACTATTTTCTTTCTCTTTATATATAAATACCTGCATATAATCTATCACAATTCTGAATTAATAAAGTTTCAGTGAATGAAACTTCAGTTAAATCTAAAGTTAACTTTGTCCACCATCTGTTTCAGCTTCAGTACAAATATTATGATCTTTAGATAAAACAGACCAGCCCCGATTCAAATGCTAACTAAAACAAAATATGGATTTTTTTTCCCTACATAAAGCAGAGGAGAGAAAAAAGGCAGTTAAAAACTTCCTCAAAGTACAAGGCTTCCTGAAAGATAATGTAATTTAACTGTTTTGGTATTTCTAAAATTAAATTAATGATATTAAAATACATAAGGTTTCTTTGCCTTTACTGTTCATGTTAAGTAGTAATAACTAACATTTAATGAGTGGCAGGCAATGTCTTGAGAGCCTTCCGTGTTTATCTTTTTAATCCTCTAATAGCCAAAGGAGGTGAATTTTATTCTCATTGCATAGAGGAGGAAACTGATAAAGCAAAAGTGTCACTCGGCTATGATTTTCTAGATCGATTTCATAGCTTGCAGTTTTATTTATTGGTTTTTAAAGATTGTATTTATTTATTTGGCAGAGAGAGAGAGCGCACAAGTAGGCAGAGTGGCAGGCAGAGGGAGAGGGAGAAGCGGGCTCCCTGCTAAGCAGAGAACCCAATGCTCAATCTCAAGATTCTGGGATTATGACCTGAATCAAAGACAGACACTTAACTGAGTAAGTCACTCAGGCACCCCATATATGCATGTTTACTATTACACTATACAGTAAATCTTCTTTTCAACTTTGTTTCACAAATAGCAAGTAGGTAACTACAGCTTTATCTTAAATTTTACTGTTAGCACTTTTTATATACAAGTAGTATTTCTAGAAATACATGTAATATTTTTAGAAAAATCTAATTAAACTGTGTAGCCCAAACCTGAGACCTATACCAAAAACATATAGGATTTATATTTTTAATACAAATGAGCATGCTCACATGCTTCAAAAATAAAAACCCCATTAAAATAGCTTTTAATTTGTTTTAAGGCTAAAAACAAATGGGATTCCTAGAAAATAGTTTCAGTTATACTACTAATACTTTTGAATATTTTTTTGGACAGATAAATTCACAACCCATGTTTTGTATGTGGTATATATGTACTTGTTAAATTCTAATGTGCATCAAGTTACCCAGCAATCTTTGTTAAAATACAGATTCTGATTCAGCAAGTCTGGAGTAGAGCCCGAGATTCTGCATTTCCAACAAGCTCCCATGCTGCTGACCCAATGATCACTCTTAATAGCAAAGCATAACTGTGACACAATTAAGGCCCCAAGCTACTGTATATTACAGTAGTAGGTGATATATCAAAGGTGATATAAAGGGCTAGCCTTCCTTATCTATAACTAACACTCTGGTAATACGATCTGGTTGGAGAAAACAATAACAATAAGGCAGGCATGGCTCAAACCTAGGACATACCTCTGGATAGCTTGAATCTACTACATAGCTTTTTTGAGGACTTTCATAAAAGGACCACATTTGAAGATAAACTGTCCCACTCCTAAGAATTCCAACAAAATGAACTTTAAACCACCTCACCTTTTCCCACCTCTCATTAAAAATCTTGGACTTGCAGAATGGCTAAAATTAACAAGTCAGGTGTTGGTGAGGATGCACAGAAAGGGGAACTCTCCTACACTGTTGGTGGGAATGCAAGCTGGTGCAGCCACTCTGGAAAACAGCATGGAGGGTCCTCAAAAAGTTGAAAGCAGAGTTACCCTATGACCCAGAAATCGCATTACTGGGTATTTACACTAAAGATACAAATGTAGTGATCCAAAGGGGCATGTGCACCCAAATGTTTATAGCAGCAATGTCCACAAAAGCCAAACTATGGAAAGAACCTAGATGTCCATCAACAGATGAGTGGATAAAGAAGATGTGGCATGGGCTGCCTGGGTGGCTCAGTGGGTTAAGCCTCTGCCTTCAGCTCAGCTCATGATCTCAGGGTCCTGGGATGGAGTCCCACATCGGGCTCTCTGCTAGGCAGGGAGCCTGCTTCCTCCTCTCTCTCTCTCTCTCTCTCTCTACTTGTGATCTCTCTCTGTCAAATAAATAAAATCTTAAAAAAAAAAAAAAGATGTGGCATACATATCTACAATGGAATACTATGCAGCCATCAAAAGAAATGAAATCTTGCCATTTGCAATGATGTGGGTGGAACTAGAGGGTATTATGCTAAGCAAAGTAAGTCAGTCAGAGATAGACAATTATCATATGATCTCTCTGATAGGAGGAACTTGAGACACAGGGCAGGGAGTCATGGGGGGTAGGGAGTCAAAAATGAAACAAGATGGGACCAGGGAGGGAGACAAACCATAAAAGACTCTTAATCTCAGGAAACAGACTGAGGGTTGCTGAGGGGGTGGGGGGGGTATGGACATTGGGGAGGGTATGTGCTATGGTGAGTGCTGCGAATTGTGTAAGACTAATGATTCACAGACCTGTACCCCTGAAGCAAATAATACATCATATGTTCATTAAAAAAATCTTGGACTTGTTCTATTATCACAGTTAATTGATATATAGGCTGAAAAAACCCATTTGATAAATACTTCTTTCATTTTGTTTTCTTTGCTCTATAATATGTAAATATAAAAGTATAGAGTGCATCTTCTAAAAAGTCAAGTTTCCATTGATTACTTGGATAATTTTTTCACAACAGAAATTCCAAAGCTTCATGTTATTTATTCTTATCAATGCCTAAGTCAACTGGTTAGTAAAAAATCATGGCAAATGTTATTAAGTGAAAAATACAGTCAATACAGTCTTCATTACACACCTCCCTCATTCATACATCCTTACCTGTGTTTCTGCACTGCTTAATGAATGAAGATCCAAGGATGGGTCTGTTTTGAGTTCAGGTTCAGGAGCTGCAATTGGGGCTTTTAAAATGATCTCTTCATCAAGACTGGTTCCAAATTCTATCTCTTTCTGACCTCCTTCACATTTCTCTTTAGCTGACTCTACGTCTTTGCCTTCTTCCTCAGAAACCTGAGACTTAGGCCTTTTGAGAAATGAGGAGAACAGTCGTGACAGGCCCCTATTTTCTGATGTCCGCTCCTTGTTCTTGGTTAAGTCTTCATGTGTAGGAGTATCTCCATTAGATGTTTTCAGCTTCTGCTCACACTGATTATCTCCCTCAGCTGCCTCCTGAGAAGCCTCCTCAAGCTGAGTTTCTTGTTGGCCTGAATTTGTGGCTCCCTCACCTTCTTCCTTCTGTTGTTGGTGCTGCGAATTTTCAGCTTCAGCCACTAAACTCTTCTCTGTTGTCATGATGTTGCTATTAAAAAGAGAGGAGAACTCTTACAATCAAAACTGATTACTGTAGGCAAAACCCTAAATCATGTCAAGTGTGCCAAAATTAATATATTTAGGTATTGAATCACCCACAGACAGGACTCCAGTCCATTAAGCATGAGACCTTCAAATAAAGTACAAAAATATCTCACCTATACATCCCGAATAAATTATTAATGCTGTCACTTGCTAAATATATGCACATGGAGAAATTACCTTACCCCTGAGGCCAACTTAGTGAAATGCATATTTCAAATTCAATGCTCTGACTGTATATAGCAAATACCCTTTTATCTTTCCTAAAAAGATCTTATGCTTTTTAGCATGCTTTGAGGGTATCAATCTAATAAAGGTGCAAAGTTTGCAGGAATTATTCTTGCAAACATCTCTATATTCCAAGAAATTATGAGATTAAAAGGTCCCCAACTCTTTATTGTTCTTTTTCTTTATATTTCTTAAAATGCATAGACTTCTCTACTAAGAACAGCAAATGAGAATTCTGATCATTTATCAGAAAACAATGACAAGTATCTGATTAAAATAATCATCAAAAAATCCTTACATTTTCAAGTTATAATACTAAATTACAGTCTCTTGCAGAAGTATCCTTCTTTAAGTTCCTTAAGACCTTTTTTCCTTCTGAATAATATGACTTCCCATGGTCAGCATTTTTAAGAATAGACAGTAAAATTATTACGATAGAGAAAAATGGAAAAATAACAGAAAAATAAAGAAACAAAATGGAGAAGAGAGATTTAGGAGTGCCTGGCCACATCAGGGATGGGCTCAGTCTGTTAAGCATCTACCTTTGGCAGAGGTCTTGATCCCAGGCTCCTGGGATTGAACCCCACATTGGGCTCCCTCATCAGTGGGGAGTCTGCCTCTCCCTCTACTCCCAGCTTGTTCTCTCTCTTGCTATCTCTGTCTCTCTCTCAAATAAATAAATAAAATCTTAAAAAGAAAATAAAGTTTAGAGAAGACAGATTTAGAAAGCAAATGCTGAGTGCAAAGGGAGAAGGCAGGCATGCTACAGAGCTCACATATTTCAAAACTGTTGGTTTCTAGCCTCTTGATCTCAAAATCCCAACATTATTAGTCAGGTCTCACAATCATAGCCAAAGAACATTGTCACATCTAGTTTACTAAAGAATTACCAGGGGCACCTGGGAGGCTAAGTTGGTTAAGCGTCTCACTTCAACTCAGATCATGATCTCAGGGTCCTGGGATCAAGCCCCAGAGTTGGGCTCTGTGCTCATCATGGAGTCTGCTTGTCCCTCTCCCTCTGCTCCTCCCCTTGCTCATGTTCTCTCTCTCTCTCTAAAATAAATACATAAAATCTTAAAGAAGAAGAAGGAGGAGGAGGAGGAGGACAACCAACACACAAGTAACTTCTGTGACACCAGGAAATAAAGTTGACTATTAATGATCTTACACTTTGATTCACTCCTATACTTAAAAGCACTCCACTCAAAAAGTAGCATTTACATTCTCTTCACATCTGCTTCACGTTATTTAGATGAAGTAATTTTATTTGAATGTTCACAATCCAAATTAATGAGCTATATTTAGCTCATTACTTTCTCAGGCTCTTCGCACTTGCTGTACTCTCTACCTATGATGCATTTCTCCTGGCAATTACTTTAAGCAATAAAAATATGAAAATATTTTAAGCAATAAAAAATTCAAAGCAGGGGCGCCTGGGTGGCTCAGTGGTTAAAGCCTCTGCCTTCGGCTCGGGTCATGGTCCCGGGGTCCTGGGATCGAGCCTCACGTCAGGCTCTCTGCTGAGCAAGGAGCCTGCCTCCTCCTCCTCTCTCTCTCTGCCTGCCTCTCTGCCTACTTGTGATCTGTCTGTCAAATAAATAAAAATCTTCAAAAAAAAAAAAATTCAAAGCACATTTTCTATTCTCATTTACTAAGTCACAAAAATTACTCTGTGCTAATAAAATATGCAGTTCAGTGTTTATAAACACTACTTAAAACATTTACCAACAAATCTACATTCTGTTTGTTACCTGAGTGAGTTACATTTGTACTTAAATAAAAGAAATAAAATTGTCATCAGTTCCTCCTCATATTAGGAGTAGGCAACTGACTTTTCTAAAAAGTCTTCTTCTTTAATCTCTAAGTAATCAAACCACCAGAAAGAAAAGCCGGATATCAAACTACTATTTATTCTAGAAGAGTAATGATTTGATTTGATAGCATCAGTTTACTTCATACTTCCTTTCCAAAAATAAAGAGAGGACAGGATGAAAACTTAGCATTATTAACCAGATACGACTTTATCATTCACCCTATGGAAAAGGTTCTGAAACCACTTCTGTATTAAAATCTTCCCATATGACAGATTTTGCAGCAAGGTCTCTCATAAAGACCCATTTTTAAAAATTACAAGTCTTTTGTGAAAGTTTTAGCAGATATGAAAACCACTTATGCCCCACTTCAAACAGTCTTTTATTTGCATCCTTCTGTAAACCAAGAGTATTTACCTATTCCTGTGTTTTATAATTTTTTCGTAGAGTTTTAAAAATAGAAAAGATCCTCCAAGGATATTCCTATAATTGCTTTCACATGAAAGGGAGTCTCTAAGAAAGTAGCTGAATGAGTAAAAGTACTCAATTGTTTAAAAAAAAAATACACACAGATGGTAACAATCTCTATGCTATATATGGACATGTTAAATTTTAATGTGTATCGAATCACCTAGGAATCTTGATTCTGATTCAGCAAGTCTGGAATGGAGCCTGAGATTCCGCATTTCTAACAAGCTCCCAGATGTTACCAGGGTTACTGGCCCAATGACCACTCTTTGAGTAGCAAGACATAAAAAAAAAAAAAAAAAAAACCACTATTACTTTTGGAATGTACTCAAAATGCCTAACAAATAAAGATAGCAAAAAGCTACTTTTAGAAAGTAGACTATGAACAGTGAAAAATACTTGACACAAAGAAATGCCCACTGAATTAATGAGTGAAGCAAAGAAGGCAACACGTTGTTAAACACAGAAGCTGAACCACTAACATGTTTCAGAATTCTTTTTGTTGCTTAATCAAAAGGCAATTGAAAATTTTAACTAGAGCTATGGCAATTCCAAATTGTCCAAGTAGTCATTACACTTGCCCAGAGTCAGTGTTCTTGGTATCTCCACTGGTATGATCTCTTTGACACATTTAGGAATGAATGATCAAGACATATGAATGAAGTGAGTCAACAAGTTTATACCTTATGCTATGTTCACAAGTGTGGCTGTCGTCTGTCCCAATACATTGCCATTACAATATCATCAACTGAATCCCTTATGCTGTGTCTTTTACTCCTGTGACTTATTTATTCCGTAATTGGAAGCCTGTATCTCCCACTCCCCTTCACCCATTTTGCCCAACCCTCTAACCTCCTCCCCTCTGACAACTGTTAGTTTGTTCTCTGCAATTATAGGCTTATAGGTCTGATTCTGCTCGTTGTTTGTTTATTCATTCACTGTTGTTTTGTTATTGTTTTAGATTCCACTTATGAATGGAATCATGTGGTATTTGTGTTTCCCAGTCTGACTTATTTCACTTCACATAATACTCTCTAACTCCACCCACGCTGTCATGAATGGCCAACTCACCCTTTTTATGGCTGTGTAATATTCCATTATATATAGCTACCACATATTCCTTATCCATTTCTCCACTGATGGACATTTAGGTTGCTTCCATATCTTGGTTATTGTAAACAACGGTGCAATAAACATAGGAGTATATATATCTTTTCATATTAATATTTTCATTTCCCTTGGGTAAACACTCAATAGTGGAATTATTATATAACATTGTATGTTAACTGTAATCAAATTTTTAAAAAATTAGCTACCAAGACACTATCAAATCACCACATTTTAACTCTCTGTATAGCGCTTATAGTCTAAAATTACCTTGCTTATTTATTTTTCTTTTTTCCTTTTTTGAATTGTCTGCCCTCCATAACAGAATGTACAGCACAAGAGGACAGCATCTCTGTCTTATTTAGCAGAAACTCACAAATATGTAGATGTGTCTGATTAAATATTAGTTGCTCAATAAATATTTTTAAATAAAAAAGACATGATTAAAGAATCAGAGAATAACATCTATCAGTGCAAAACTGACACATTCTACCATATAACTGGACATGTGTGAAAAACTGAACATAAGTAAAAAATGGATTCGAGCACAACATAAGGAACAGGCATACAAGCAGAATGACAAAAGAATTCTACTGGAAGGAACATACTGAAACCAACTTTGGGTAATATCATATATTCAATGCAGGAAAACAATCAAGAAATCAGACAATGTAGTTAGTATTCAGCAATGATGCTACAATTCAGAGTATGCAAGGAAAAATAAAAATAATTTATTAAGTAAAGTTTTCATGCATGTTCTTTACAGCCATGTACACATGGGTAGCAACACTGTTTAGTAAGCCCCACAAAAGCAAAGGGGAGTGGGGTTAGAGAGAATATTAAATGCAAACAATAAACCAGGCAACTATCTCCACTTAGCTCTAAGGCTGGTCAGAATTAAGCAAAAACTAAACAGCAGAAAGAAAATATTCTATGGACCATTTACTAAAAGCTCAAATAAACTCACCCTGACAAATCTATTATACCTGCAGCCAAGTTCTTCCTGTTACAAATGATAAGATGGGTAACCAGAGGAAAAGATATAAAGAAACCAAGCAGCAAAGACAGGATAAATGCTCTACAAACAGGCCCTTCCTGTTTGCAGTAAATGATATCCCTTTCATTCTGGATACAAAATCCAAAAGGAGGTATCTATTTACTTAATGTCAGAAAGAAGCCTTTTGATTAAAAAAAAAAAAATCAGCACTTTAGATAAAGCAATGAGTTCCCATTCGATCTTAATCCTAATCTTTCAAACCCTTGGAATTACACCCCATTTGGTATAAAACAAGATAAACTTGTTTTAACAGTGTGCATCTGTTGACTTCAGGCA